TGAAACTAGTGTCTATTAGGGCATTTTCTATCTATACATGTTTTAAAAATGGGACTTACATACTTAGATTTGAGTTAAGAACTGAAAAAAACCACGTGGGAGGCAGGGAAAGTGCAAAATTTGAACTTTCCGTTAACTGTTGGCCAGTGAAAAGGGTGCCTGTCTGCTTCCTCACTCCTCCCAGCGTTTAGAGAGTGGATTGGGAGACAGTCTTCGGACTGCCTGGTACTGTACTGCCTGGACTGTATTTTCCCTGCCTTCCCTGAACCTTTCTTGACCTAAGAAAAAAAGAAAGAAAATATCCCCCTCTAGTGGTCGAAGGCAGAATAGCAGCTTCCCATTAGTTTCTATGGACGGAAAAGAGCAGATACGGATCAAATGGTTTTCAATGCATTCCTATGGAAAATGCAGATTTGATCTGAGAACTTTTTGACTTGAGAACCGCCTTCCAATACGGATTAAGTTCTCAAGTCAAGACCCCACTGTATTTTGGAGTGATTGCTCCCCTTTTAGCAGTAGGTGCAGTGATAGCATCCTCCCCTCCCCCATTAAAAATGAAACTAGAAGTGTCTATTAGGGTATTTTCTATCTATACATGTTTTAAAAATGGCTGGAAATGGTCATTTCTGGAACTGGTGCAACTGGTGACAATGGCTGGGAATAAAAATTTAACCTGCAAAGTTGTCCAGCTGGGCTTCGATTCTCCCTCTTAATACAATCAGATGATGATGTTTATCTGATATGACTTATACTTCTCATAGATGTCTTTATTATAGCTTTAACAGTTGATTGAATGACTTGATATGTTGTACCCTATCTTGTCCATCTTTTTTGTGGGGGGTAAAATGAAAGTAAGTAAATTATTTCTCTTGAATAGATTTTTGTTTGTCTCCCCCAACTCCACTGTGAAAGCCCAAAGACATATAGTAGTAGTCACATTTGCCTTGGGTTTATTATAGTGAAGCTTTAATTGAGTATGCTGCTTGATATTTCAGTATCAGACTCACCGTCAGTATACAGCAGTCTGAAATGACAGGAAATCAATAACTTTGGAAAACCTATGTATCTCTGACTCTCAACTGACTTGAGAACAACAACAGTTTGCTGTGTGTTTAGAAGGAGAACCTGCCTAGACTTTTAATGTGGAAAAGTTTTAGATTCTTGCTTAGCATATCCAAATATGTTTTTCCCCCAGTGGCCTAACAGTGATAGAGCCAGAAATTGTAATTTATTGTGGCTTTGGCCTGTTGTTTTAATAATTGTAAAACGCCTTAGGGCCCTTCACCAGGAGAAAGGCAGCCTAGAAATGAAACAAATAAGCAAGCAAACAAAAAATTCCTGCTTCTACAAGTTTCAGTGAGTCCTCCTTTTAGTACGAATTCCTTTTGAACAACAAATTGCTGCGACAAAGACTCCTGCACATATAAATGCTATCCCAGCATAATGTCTGTATGTGAAATATCAGGTTCTGGAGATGGATGCAGGTAATGTTTGTGGGACAAACAGAACAATAATATAGGAACTTATCTCAGAATTTGTGAAGCTGACACTTTTTCAAACTACTGCTCAAAATCCTGCACAAGGAAGTATTGTATATTCAGATATACTGTTTCCCCGAAAATAAGACCTAACCTGAAAATAAGCCCTAGTATGATTTTTCAGGATGTTCGTAAAATATAAACCCTACCCCCAAATCAAGCCCCAGTTAAGTGAAAGCCTGCCCTCCACCATTGTGCAGCAACCAGAAGAAGATGACATGACTGTATTTGAATAAATGTAGATTGTTGTACATGGGGAGGAAAAATCCATTGAAAATAAGCCCTAATGCGTTTTTTGGAGCAAAAATTAATATAAGAACCTGTCTTATTTTGGGGGAAACACAGTAGTATGAAACTACCATGGTACAGATGGGTAAAGCATTTAATAATTGTACATGGGGAGGAAAAATCCATTGAAAATAAGCCCTAATGCGTTTTTTGGAGCAAAAATTAATATAAGAACCTGTCTTATTTTGGGGGAAACTATCATGGTACAGATGGGTAAAGCATTTAATAAAATTACTATAGGTAAAAAGGGGCTCTTGATATCCTTTCTGCTACTGTTGTTCATGGGCTGTATATGCTGGAAAATGTACTGTTTGTCTCATCAGAGTGCTAAAATATAGACCAGTTTTGGCCTGTTGTGATTGGAAAGGGAACAATAAGAATTGTAAAATGTCAAGCTAAAATGTACTGAGAACATTTGATCATCAGTGTTGCAGATTGGAATTAGCTCATGCTTTAATATAGAGAGGATGAGAAAGCAAGTTGCATATCAAAGTGCAAGAAGAAATCACTCTCTGGATAACTTTCAAAGCAAAAGAAAGTAAACAAAAAGGGCAAAAGTATTGTGGCACCTTAAAAGACTAACACATTTATTTCATTGTGTGCTTTTGTGATTTATAGCTTACGTCTTCAAATACATCAAGTAAAATATTTAGTTGCAGGTTTATATCCAAGTATATAAGTAAAGATGGATACAGACACAGCAGATAAAATTTCAAAGTAACAATAACTTAAATTGCTGGATAGCTTGGTGGTTTAGGCATCTGGTTCTTAACCTTGGGTTACTCAGGAGTTTTGGACTGCAACTCCCAGAAGCCTTCACCACCAACTGTGCTGCCTGGGGTTTCTGGGAGTTGCAGTTCAAAAACATCCGAGTAACAAAGGTTAAGAACCACTGGTTTAGGCATCTGGTTGCAGAGGCAGGAGTTGGGAGTTCAATTCCCCACTGTGCCTCCTTGATAGGGGCTGGACTCAGTGATCCATAGGGTTCCTTCGAGCTCTGCAGTTCTAAAATAATGATGATGATAAATACATGTCATGTATTGAGAGTTTATTTTTTTGGAAATTTGAGAGTTTAATTTTTGGAAATTTTCTGTTCCTCCCTGTGACGTTTGCCCCTCGTGGCCCCTGTTTGTCTCCCCAAAACAGAGAGCTCACAAAGGCAAACAAACAAACAAAAAATACAACATGTTCACATGCTGCCACCAGTTGATTTATCAACGTACTTTGCTTAGGAAAGACAAAGGTGCATTCATCACTCTTTTGAATAAAACAGGTTTATTGGTTTTCAGATGTTTCTATAATATTTCATAAATATCTTCTTCAGGTTCATCAAGCATCAATAACAATCTTCTCTATTATCTTACAGGTTACTATTCACTCCTCAGACTAATCTCTCCTCAGATTCCTAAACTAACTCTCTCTCTCTCTCTCTCTCTCTCTTCAAACTCTGACTCATACTGTAAAATAACTCCTCCTCTCTGGCGTCACCTTTTCACATCTCTAGTGGCCCCACCTCTCAACCACATCAGCATAAAATATGAATAATGTGTGACATATTTAACATAATAAAGGTGAACGCCACACTCCCCCACCAAAATTTCTGAGGCTCTCTTCATCATGGGGAAACCAAAGGAGGCAGTAGGAGTCATCATCATAACTCCAACAATTTTAGATCATGGAGGACTTCTCCCTCCCATCCCACAGCTGTCAGTGGCTTCCCCATGATTAAAGGGATTCCACAGGAGCCTCAGTACCTCTGGAGTTACACCAGAACTCCATCCCTATTGATTATATTGTTGGCTTTGCACCATGTAGATCTACAAACAGGATTTCAGCCACTGGTTTAAAATGCTTTATTCTTTAAAAAAAAATAAAACAAATTATATCATAGCATTCTGCAAGTTATAGTAAGTAAATTTGGTTAGCTAAATTTGCTTTTTTTAAAAAATCTAGAGTGTTACATGTAGAAAATAAGCTGTTTTCAGTAATACATTAATTTCCTGCAAATTGTCACTGTAACTACTAAGTGAGTTTTGCTTGGCGTTTTAGCATTATCGTAAGATGGCAATGATCATCCTGCAGGTTTCAGTCTGATGGGCGCTTCATGCTTTATACAGCTTCATACAAAGCACGAACCATGGCACCACAGGTGGTGCTGAGTTTCATCTCCCTTCCCCCAGGCTGGCTGGTCCACTTACCGGGATTCTCATGCTGCTGCAGTCCTTCTTTGGTGGTGGCACTTTAATCCAGGTAGGAGCCTTTCCTTATCTCCTCAGGCAACCAACCACTCTTGCGAGGATGCAGGATGGGAAGTCGCCCTGCCTAGCCAATGAGTAGCTGGCTGCCTGCAGAGGTAGGGAAAGGCTGGCTGGACTCCTGCCTGGATTGGAGTGCCACTGTCAAAGAAGGACCTGAGCAACATGTGGAGCCTGGTAAGTGGACCAGCCGGCCTGGGGGGAGGGAGATGGAACTCAGCATCACCTGTTGTGCCATGCCTTGTGCTTCATGTGGAATTATATGAAGTGCCCATATCTAGTTTGGAGTAAATATTCAGTGTTTGTGCTTTAATAAAATATACATACAAATCCATGTTCTAGAAATCACTCTGGGACTGTAAGCAATTGATTAAAATAAATGACTCCTTTTCTGTACTGAAAATAACACATAAAAGGCTTTTCTTACAGTATTTGCTGAATTGTTCTGTAAGTTCAAAGTATATTGAATCTGTTGTCAGTGAAGTGAAAGGCATTTGGGAAATACTGTGTCTGGCTTTGTTATGTATGCAGGGGCACCACTGCAGATCATATTCTTTTCAACTTGTAGTTGATTTTCTATTCTGGTGACAGGTCATTTGGCTTTGGGACTGTGTTGATGAACCTGAGCAGCATTCTTGGCATGTCCACAGGTTTTCAGTTGGCAAATATAAATGCATTATGGCCAATGGAATGTTGTGATGCTGTTAATAATGCCTTATCTCAGGTGTAGCATTGTCATTTTGCCGGTGATACTTTCTTGTTTACATATCTCCTTTTCATACGTTTTTAACTGAAGAAATAACATTATGAGATTTCTACAAACATGTGGGTGTTTCTGTACTAGAAGAAAAATTCTTTGCTAAATCTCTGTGTTGCTTTGTTACTAATCTGAGTTCTTGGAAATGTGCTTTTTTTAAAGGTATGTATTCTTTCTGGAGCCATGCAATGTAGATCTGGTACAACGGAAGATCAAGTCCCTTGCTCTCTGTGTATCAGCATGTCCACAGAATGAGTTGAAAACTTTGGCTGATGTTCAGAAATTTGCAAACACTAACGGTAAGGCAAAGAGCAATCATGTTTTTATTTCTACCTGTTATTATATAGGACTGCAGTATTCAGGCTGATTGAACAATCAGCAGATTTAAAAATAACATAAGTACTTATCTCCCCCAAAGCAGGTGGCATCTAATGTCTTAGAACAGGCTTTCATGCTTTTATCATAGAGAAAAGTATGTTTTTTTAGATAGCTTTTGCCACAGGTATTGTAGGTCCACCATACTAAATAACAAAAACAGTAGCATATGCCATAAGTTGTTTTTAATCATTTCCCCCATCCAAGCTCTGACCAAAAAAGTATGCCTTGTTGAGGGCATAATACTGTAGCTTTGGTCAAGTGTTCACTGGGCAGTAATGGCCAAGACCCAGTTTTGTGCCCAAACCAACAGAACAGAGTCTTTGTTCTCTTCCCCCTGCTATTGTGGTGTTCCATAGTGCCAAAAACCTGCTCCAAAGAATTTCTAGCCCTCTGAAATAGTTCTTTAGGTTGTATAAGGGGTGCTGTAGGAAGTAAGGGTAGCGGCAGTTCTGGCAGAAGCAACAGGATCCAGCAGAAGTATCCTATTGAATCCTGGCTGCTGGTAAACGTAGATGGAAGCTGCTTAATCAGCTGTTTCTGTTGGCTACCACAAATCATCCCTTCTAGCTTCCACATTTTCATTATCTGGAGCATGAGCATAGATTTGCTGTGATAGTATGTGGTTAGGTTCACTCAGAGATTCTATCATGCATATTTGTTGAATGCCATATTTGGGGTAATTGATTCCCTTTTAGATGTAATGCTGTTCAGTGGTGCTTTAATTATATTTTAATTCCTCACCCCACCCTTTGGGATTGGGAGAAGTCTTTGTTCCAGCAGCTTTGTAGTATTCATGATGATTTGGTAAATTCTTAAGAGGCTGGTGGAATATTAGATCAGAAAGGTCCCAGAGCTCTTTAAAAGATCATTATGATGAGAAGCCAAGAACATAGAATTTGATGTTCAAATCAGTGTTGCCTCTGTCTCTTTGGTTTCTTTTCTAAAGGGCAATGTAAATACTTCTGTGTACGTTTATTCAGTGGGCGTATGCACATAACTGTTGTTATTGTATGTTTCTGAAGCCCAACAAAAGTGCTTTAAATGTGATGCTGAATATTTGGGTCATGGCTTTCTAACCTGTGGGTTGTGAACCCCAGGGGGATTGCAGAGTGTTTACTAGGGGTCACCATGGTTATTTTTAGCTGCAATTATTGTTATAGGAAATTTTGCCACAAAGGTTTTCAACATTTATTGCCCAGAGGCAAGTTCAATTAAATATTAGGTTAGGATTATATTCTGAAAAAGCTATTTTTAATTTGTTTTCTTTACTCCGTTAAAAATGCCTTTTTATCCAAATGTAGTGGGGGTCACAGTTTACTTGGCTGTTATAAAAGAGAGTTGTGACTCAAAAAGGCTGGGAAACTGATTTAAGTCATGGAACTGTCTTATTCTAAGGTTCTAAATAGAGATGAGCTCTTACCGTGACTCGACGGTTCGGTGCAGTTCAGAGGATCAGGCCCACAGGTTCCCTGGATTCCGCACCCCACCTCCTCCTGCAGGCACCCATCAGAAACAGTGCTTTTGGGCTTCTGTGCCCTGTCTCCTCCTCTGAGTGGGTGCTCACAGGGGGAGGGGGAATGCGGAATCTGGGATCCCTGCTCAACACTTGTGCACCCAATCTTCTGAACTATGATACGTGCTCATCTCTATTTCTAAACCCGTGTCCTCTTTATTTATACTTCAGTAAAGTTAAAATGGGAAATATGCATATTTTGAGAGGCATGTGCAGAACTCCTATTTCTCATGCTGTCTTTAAAGTATAAAAGTACCGTAACAGCATTTTAATAGAAGAATTCTGTGGCCTAACTGCAGTTGGGTCTATTTAGCATGGCAGACCTGTGGTCGTAATAATAAAGTAAGACAGTTGGGTCATATGTCTGCGGAATCTAGCTGAAGTATAATATATTTCAATGTACCCCTCATTAAAAAATAAGAAGCAGTAATATAATTATTTGTGCTATAGAAAGCCATTATGTTAGGAAGAAGGATTCTTATAGCCCAGTTTTCTCTCAGATATTCTAGCTCAGGGAGTTCTCTGTTCATAAGAAAACATCTTTCAGACTTGCAGCCTTAAAGAGGAACTGTTAAACCAAGGGAGGGAAGAACATGCAGTCAGAGTCATAGGAACTGCAGATCCCAGCAGCCTCTGAGAACCAAAGTGTCTAGTTCAACATCTGTGTACTCTAGATGTAGAACAATCAGAAGTGTTTTGCCATTTTCTTCTTCTGGGAGTGTTCCGGGAGGTGCTCCTTGCCCAATGTTACACGGGCTGGCTTAGGAAGCTCAGTGGAAAATTGAACATTTGATCTCTGGCTCCACAGCCAGGTACGCACTCGCAGAGTTGCATAAGATTGGTGTTCCATTTGTGGGTGAAATAGAAACCAGCAAGGGAACTGCATGCAAACTGATTTGATAGAAATCAGAGCTGTTGGTCACTTCAGCAAAAGGTTATACAGTGGTGCCTCGCTTAATGCAGTCAAAGTCATAGGCACTGAAAATGGGCGCCGCTATGGAGGATCTTCGCTGGACTGTGAGTTTTTCAGCCCATTGGAACACATTGAACAGGTTTTCAATGCGTTTCAATGGGATTTTTTATTTTGCTTAACGAGGATTTCACTCTACAGCGATTTCGCTGGAATGGATTATCCTCGTTAAGTGAGGCACCACTGTATGTATTTTTTTATCATTTCCATGCTGTGTTTCCAATTCCTTGTGACACAGTAAGAATATTTGCAACAACAACAATAATAATTCCATCCCAAAATAAACCTCTGATAACAAAGTTTGAAAGTATGAATTAATCTCTTTTTATCATAAAGGATTCTCTTCCCTCCCCCCACTTCATTTTCCTCTCATCTATTGTGCCAACTCTCTCAGGTTTTAAATTAGCATTAACATACTAATCCTAAACCAAGGCATTGGATTTTATCAGAAAAGACACTCTAATCTCTTTTCACTTTGTATGACCTTGGGTGGGGACAGCTGCTTGTACTTGAAGTAAGTATATTAGAAGATAGATGCAATTGTTAACCAACAGGGCAAATGAGAAGTTGGGTTGAAAATGTAGATAAAGTAATGAGAAAAGGCAATTTCCTGTTAGTAGAACTTATTGTGAGGGGAGATTTCTTTGTTAAATTTCCATAATTAAGATAATTTGAGTTCTTATGTATTTAACTGAAAATGCTTCACCTTTGTTATATGTTAGCAGTGTTTAGTTTGAGATTTTTAATTGGACTTTTAAAGGCTTTATGCTTCATATATAGCTACTGTATGATGAAGACATCCTTGGTAGACATTGTTATTCTTACTTTCAAATGTGCATATTTTCAGCAAGCTATTATTAATATTCAAAAACAATAGGCACAGTCAATCAAAAGTATAAAAACATTGGTATTATAATATAACAGATACAAGTTTTAATAAAAAACATATAACAAATACAAGTTTTGATAAAAAACCTAAGTATCTGTTAAATATTAGCACAGTATGTATACTGTTTCTAATACTGCTGTTTTTTGTAGCTCTGATGGTGTGATTTCTGAGATCTGTAACTGCTTATAGTATTGTATGAAATTTCTTGATATTGTTCACAAGGCCCCAATGACTATGGGAGCCCCTGAAGTGTGTTTCATCCATAAGTGAGATGTTTCGATTGCCAGGTCTCTGTATTTTGTTAGTTTTTCAATTCTTTATTTTCAACTCTGACATCTCCTGGAATTGCAATGTCAATGATCTGGTTATTTCCTTACTATGTCTGCTGTGTTCTGTTCAAGGTGTTTATCCGTTTGGATCTGGAAGTAGTAGTACTAGTAGATGTTGATGTAGTAGAATCCATGTGGCAGAGTGAGCTCCCATTGCTTGTCCCAGCTTCTGCCAACCTAGCAGTTTGAAAGCATGCAAATGCGAGTAGATGAATAGGTACCACCTCAGTGGGAAGGTAACAGTGTTCCATGTCTAGTCATGCCAGCCACGTGACCACAGAAAATGTCTTTGGACAAATGCAGTCCCTTCTGCTTACAAATGCAGTCCCTTCTGCTTACAAACAGTAGAGCTGGACACAACTGGACTTAATTGTCAAGGGGAAACTTTATTTATTATTTGATTTCTACCCCACCCCTCTAGACAGAGTCTACTTGGGGCGGCTTACAAACAAGTATAAAACATTATAAAATACAATCAAATAAAGTCATCAAAATATATATAAAACAATCGCATAATTAAATCAGCAAATCAGAAGATTAAGATGGAAGGAAGAAAACTAAAGAGAAAAGAAAATCAGGTGTTGTCTGGAGGGAAGGCCTACCTGAAGAACCAGGTTTTTAAATGACTCTTAAAAACATCCAGTGAGTGTGCCAGGGTGATTTCCGGTGGCAAGGTGTTCCATAGTCGAGGGGCCACTGCCGAGAAGGCCTGGTTTCTTGTTCTTTCTCACCAGGCCTCTCTCGGCATTAGGCCCCTCAGCCATCTTTCCTGGCTAAAATGGGTGGCTTGGGTAGATCTAGGTGGGAGAAGGCGCTCCGCCATGTATCGAGGTCCTAAACCGTTTAGGGCTTTATAACTCATCATTAACACTTTGAAGTGGATGTGGAAACGAATGGGAAGCCAATGCAAGGCGGCCACGGTGGGAGAGATGTACTGGTATTTTCTTGTCCTAGTGAGAAATCTGGCCGCTGCATTTTGCACCATTTGAAGTTTTTGCAACAACCCCAAAGGTAGCCCCACATAGTGTGCATTACAGTGGTCTAATCTCGAGATTACGAGCACATGGACCAGAGTGGTGAGTGCCCCAACATCAAGATAGGGAGGCAGCTGGGCAATCCGCCACAGATGGAAATAGGCGGAGCGGACCACTGATGCCACCTGGGTCTCCATGGTGAGCGCCGGGTCCAGATGTACTCCCAAGCTGCGAACCTCACTTTTC